GGGAGGGCCTACTTCCACTGGGGAATCCCGCCTACCAGTGAATATGCCCTCGTCTGCTACACCTGACGTTACTATATAAGCGCCAGGATCCTTTCTTCTGCTTCAGAATCTCCACGAATATGGTGCTCTTCGCACCTACTCCTAGGTTGAGGGACTGATTACCTCATCTTCTGTACATAGTTCTACTGTCTTCAAGTTATGTCCTAGAATTTGTATTGATAAAGCCACTGGATGGCGAAACGTCTACAATAAAGATACCCAGATGTTGCACATGTGTCTTAATCTCATCTTGTCGGTATTATATACCATTCGTACACAACGAGTACAGAAAAGTTGATAGAAGCAGAAGATACTTGAAGACGATGTAATCAGTCCATCACCCTTAAAGTTTTGAGGTGGTCAGTCCCTCAGTCTGGAGAAGAGCAAGATTGATGGACTGACCACATCGACTCAAGGTTGAGGGACTGATTACCTCATTCTCCTCCTGTTCTTCAAGATTCTCCTTTGTATGGACTGATGATGCCACTGTGTGGCGAAACGTTTCCTCAATAAAGATACCCAAAAGTTGTAATAAAGTTGGTAGAATTACTGACAATATGTTCTTAACTAATGAGACATTTATTGTGGCAACGTTTCGCTTGATAAAGCTCCTGGAGAGCGAAACGTTGCCACAATAAATGTCTCATTAGTTGCACTTGTGTCCTTTTACTTTACATACCCAAGAGTTGCACATGTGTCTAATTTAACAACATGTCGGTTCTTTGAACCATTCATCTATGATCCCATGTATCAGAAACCTACCCTATGAGGATAGACTAAGGGCCCTGAATCTGCACTCTCTAGAAAGACGTAGAATTAGGGGGGATATGATTGAGGTGTATAAATGGAAGACAGGAATAAATGAAGGGGATGTAAATAGTGTGCTGAAAATATCTAGCCTAGACAGGACTCGCAGCAATGGTTTTAAGTTGGAAAAATTCAGATTCAGGAAGGATATAGGAAAGTACTGGTTTGGTTATAGAGTTGTGGATGAGTGGAGCAAACTCCCTAGTACAGTTATAGAGAGTGTGTGTGTGTGTGTGTGTGTGTGTGTGTGTGTGTGTGTGTGTGTGTGTGATGAATGGTTTTGAAAACCGACAAGTTGAAGAATTGAGACACTTATGCAACACATGGGAATCTTTATTGAAGAAACGTTTCGCCACACAGTGGCTTCATCAGTCCAATATAAAGTAGAAGTGGGTAAGGAGAGTAGAAGTTTGAGGTAATCAGGTCCCACTGTGATCCCGCCTCCTCCTGTTTCAACTCATCTCACCGCAGTACATAAGCCACCTCTCTGGCCCTATGCTGCACTTCCTACAAGAGTGATGGACTGAACACATCGATTCCAGGTTGAGGGACTGATTACCTCAAACTTCTACTCTCCTTACCCACTTCTACTTTGTATTGGACTGATGAAGCCACTGTGTGGCGAAACGTTTCTTCAATAAAGATTCCCATGTGTTGCATAAGTGTCTCAATTCTTCAACAGTTATAGAGGCCAGAACGTTGTGTAGCTTTAAAAATAGGTTGGATAAATACATGAGTGGATGTGGGTGGGTGTGAGTTGGACCTGATAGCTTGTGCTACCAGGTCGGTTGCCGTGTTCCTCCCTTAAGTCAATGTGACCTGACCTGACTAGGTTGGGTGCATTGGCTTAAGCCGGTAGGAGACTTGGACCTGCCTCGCATGGGCCAGTAGGCCTTCTGCAGTGTTCCTTCGTTCTTATGTTCTTATATGCTCCGTTCTTGAGGACGAGAGTCTGCCTACTGCCGACAGCTTCCATAGTCGCACGTGTTCACGTAAAGAAGACTCACGCATCTTATTAAACTGGGTCTGGGTGTATTACAAAGTGACTTAAGAAGTATATCTCGGTATTCCTAAAGGACTTTGTACCCCTACCACAAACGTCAGACACAATGGTAAATTCTCGTTATCAGCGGTAGCTATGCACATGCTATAGGTACGGTAATGTTAACAAATGCTGTGAGGTCGAATGGCGAACCTTCAGGAGGAGCTAGAGCTTACACACTGAGGTCCGGAGATCGAATCCCCGTACGGCTGGACATGTTTTCTAAAGATATCTCTTGTCCATGTTCACCCATCAGTATAAAATGGGTACCTGGGTGTTAGTCGACTGGTGTGGGTCGCATCCTGGGACAAAACTGACATAATTTGCCCCAAATGCTCTACATAGCAAGCGACTTTCTATATAGTAGTATTTATTTATTTATTAATTTGAACATGATACAGAGAAGCACAAGGAATACAATTTTTAAAGTGAAATTAAGACACATGTGCAACATCTGGGTATCTTTATTGTAGACGTTTCGCCATCCAGTGGCTTTATCAATACAAATTCTAGGACATAACTTGAAGACAGTAGAACTATGTACAGAAGATGAGGTAATCAGTCCCTCAACCTAGGAGTGCGAAGAGCAACCTACTCCTAGGTTGAGGGACTGATTACCTCATCTTCTGTACATAGTTCTACTGTCTTCAAGTTATGTCCAAGAATTTGTATTGATAAAGCCACTGGATGGCGAAACGTCTACAATAAAGATACCCAGATGTTGCACATGTGTCTTAATTTCATCTTGTCGGTATTATATACCATTCTTACACAATTTTTAAAGTGCAGCATGCCAAAGCCCCTTGTATGCAGAGCATTATGGGCAGGCTTAAAATTAACTTAAGATTAACTAAGCAATGATATATTCAGTGGTACAAAAATTATTGTAAAACAGATAACAATTTAGTACAAATGAGTATTACAAAGACAGGTCATATGGTCATTTACTGTGTTGCTGTGTAATCAGTAGAATGGAGTATTCTGTTAGTTAATGAAGTTAAATAGTAACAAAGTTTGATTGGGTCACAGGTTGACATTTATGAGATACAATAATGAGATAAATATGAGATACAATTATTCAGTATTTTAGTTGTGGGTGAGTAAGTGATTTTTGAGAAGAGACTTGAATTTAAAAACAGTGTTTCTTTTATATTCACAGGTAATAAATTCCAGATTTTAGGGCCTTTTATGTGCATTGAGTTTTTGCATAGCGTGAGATGGACACGAGGAACATCAAAGAGTGATCTGTGCCTTGTGTTATGGTCATGTGTTCTGTTGAGGTTGGTAAGGAGATGTTTGAGGGGAGGGTTTATGTCAGAGTTAAGTGTTCTATGTATGTAGTAGGTGCAGTAATAAGTATGGATGTTTTGTATTTAACGGGCTTGTTTTGGTAGCGGGGTGTGAATGATACGTCTCCGGAGGCTTCTTTGTTTATTGTTAAGTCGTTGTGGGTACACAGGCTTGTGTGTTGTGCCCATGGCCCGGGAGGGCCATGCCCACGAGAGAGAGCTGGGAGGCCTTGTGTCTTGCTGCTAGGCCGCTGTGTGAGTGAGGGAGAGGCATGGGCCGGCAGGCTGGCGTGCCTACCTAGAGGCCTGGCTACAGAGGGCAGCACCTGAGTGGCACGAAATATGAACTAAGCTGGCTGACAGCATGGGCTGTCTGTGCAGACAGTACAGGCTGTCTACATATTGTGAGTAGGTTTAGAGTTTTGAATATTGGTGGAGTGTGCTGTCTGTAGTGGGAATTTGTTATCATTCTGACTGCAGCCTTTTGTTGGGTGATAATAATTAATATGTCAGTGATGTCAGCTAAAACTGTATACCTTGTACATGTACTTGTAGAAATGAAGATCATCATCATCATCATCATCATCATCATCATCATCATCATCATCATCATCATCATCATCATCATCATCATCATCATCATCATCATCATCATCATCATCATCATCACCACCACCACCACCACCACCTACACACGGCTTGGTACAATGTCCCGTGGCTTGGTTAGCAACGCTCTCGAATCACACACTTAGTACCTGTGGTTCGATCCCCGATACGGGTGGAAATATTGGGCATGTTTCCTAACACGTGGTGGCCCGTTCACCAAGCAATAAGTAGGTATCTGGGTGTTAGGCGACTGGTGTGGGGTCGCATCCTGGGGGACAAGATTGAAGGACTACAATGGAAATAAGACACAATCCCTCGATGACGCACTGACTTTCTTGGGTTATCCTGAGTGGCTCACCCTCCGGGTTAAAAATCCCAACAAATCTTATCTTAGGGGTGAGACGGCAGGTTCCTGGATTGAATTTAATTAATGATGTGATTGCTGTTAGCTAATCAGGTCACCAATCACGATAGTACACCTCTTATAAATATATATATATATAAAATATATTATATATATATATATATATAATATATATATATATATATATTATATATATAATATATATATATATATATATATATATATATATATATATTAAATCTTACTCATATCTCCTATTATTAATTTAATTAATTTCAATAAATATAAAAGAACGCTTGTATTGAAATGTGCCACTTACAGCTAGGCTTTAAACAATAAGATATTAGAAGGATCCCCAGTGGAAATTAGTCACTATTGGGTTATCCTAGGTAATTTGCACATGTTACTATGTGTGATAATTGTACTTGTGTGCCTATATCTAAATTAACTTACTTAATATGCACTGTGGTGCAATTTAACTACCCAAATATTGCCAGCAACTTAAAGAATATAAAGGCAGACTACCGTAACTAACAATGCACAAAGGTGCCTAGTTAATGGACCAAGTTGGACCAAAACGTCGTCATTAAGTTTCATTCTCTTTCGTGTGGGTTATTTGTGTATATTTCTAGCAACTTGCTAACAGTTGCATGGTTATTATGACCCCAGTCTATCATCAACCAATCAGAAGCCAGGACTAGCTATACCCTGGATTGTGATTGGTAGAGCTTGGCCCAGGCTGGATCAATGATCGACCTCCTGAGTGTAAACATTGTCCTATGCCGGAGAAAGTGACCGCCGCCTGTTGAAGGTGTTATTTTTGCACCCGTAGCTGAGGTAAAGTAACTCTAGTGTTGTTAAAGTGAATGAGGTGATGTAGGCTGTGTTGAGGATGACGGTGAGGCATGGAGGGTGAGGGGGAAAGGAGGCAGTGAGGTGATAAATGTGAACAAGGCTGGACGCCATTATCAGGTGCTAGACGCGTGAACAGCACCAGCTGGCGCAAGGCTGAGGCAACATAATGGCACTCTTAGCTAGTCTCAGTAGCTGAGCTTGGCTGATGCAACATGATGCTACTCGCAGCTAGCTTCAGTAGCTGAGTAGGACAACCTGATCTGTGAGGGAAGGCTGTGTTACGTGTGGCAGTTTTGGCCACCTCTGGCAGACTCGACACGGATTTACCACCCTGCCTCGCCTCTCCTCCCAATATGAGGTAAAGTTTCTCTCCAGAGCACTCTTAGTTTGATATACTACTGACTTTATGGACGGTTATCGTATGGTATTGTGGCTTAGTGCCTGGTGAAGTTAGTGTTGGGTGTTACTGTGGGGGAGAGGATGTTGGGAGTCACAATGTGGGTGGAAGGTTAGTGGGAATCTCACTGTGAGATTCTCACTGTGAGATTCTCACTGTGAGATTCTCACTGTGAGATTCTCACTGTGAGATTCTCACTGTGAGATTCTCACTGTGAGATTCCCACTGTGAGATTCTCACTGTGAGATTCTCACTGTGAGATTCTCACTGTGAGATTCTCACTGTGAGATTCTCACTGTGAGATTCTCACTGTGAGATTCCCACTGTGATATTCCCACAGATTCCCACTGTGAGATTCCCACTGTGAGATTCCCACTGTGAGATTCCCACTGTGAGATTCCCACTGTGAGATTCCCACTGTGAGATTCTCACTGTGAGATTCTCACTGTGAGATTCTCACTGTGAGATTCTCACTGAGATTCTCACTGTGAGATTCTCACTGTGAGATTCTCACTGTGAGATTCTCACTGTGAGATTCCCACTGTGAGATTCCCACTGTGAGATTCCCACTGTGATATTCCCACAGATTCCCACTGTGAGATTCCCACTGTGATATTCCCACAGATTCCCACTGTGAGATTCCCACTGTGAGATTCTCACTGTGAGATTCTCACTGTGAGATTCCCACTGTGAGATTCCCACTGTGAGATTCTCACTGAGATTCCCACTGAGATTCCCACTGTGAGATTCTCACTGAGATTCCCACTGTGAGATTCTCACTGAGATTCCCACTGTGAGATTCCCACTGTGAGATTCCCACTGTGAGAGTCCCATTGTGAGATTCCCACTGTGAGATTCTCAGAGATTCCCACTGTGAGATTCTCACTGAGATTCCCACTGTGAGATTCTCACTGAGATTCCCACTGTGAGAGTCCCACTGTGAGATTCCCACTGAGATTCCCACTGTGAGATTCCCACTGTGAGATTCCCACTGTGAGATTCCCACTGAGATTCCCACTGTGAGATTCTCACTGAGATTCCCACTGTGAGAGTCCCACTGTGAGAGTCCCACTGTGAGATTCCCACTGAGATTCCCACTGAAATTCCCACTGTGAGATTCCCACTGTGAGATTCCCTCTGTGGGCAGAGGGTGGTAGAAGTTGCACTGTGGATGGAAGGTTAGTGGAAATCTCACTGTGGGTAGAGGGTGGTGGGAATCTCGCTGTGGGTGGAGGGTGGTGGGAGTCACTGTGGGGTGGAAGGTGGTGAGACTCGCACAGCATACAAGGATGGTGACACTGGGTGGAAGGATGGTGGATGTCTCACTGTAGGTAGAAGATGGCGAGTCTCAGTAAGGGTGGAAGGTAGTGGATGTCTCATAGTGGATAGTGAAGGTTTTGAATAAATTTTCTAGAAAACTGACAAGTTTTTTTTTTAACAGCTTTTTGATCTCTATGCTTCATCCAACTGTACAAAAGTATAAGTTTTTATTGTGACAAAGGTTATCTTTCCTCTTTGAGACATATTCACATTCTGAAGCAATTTGGAAACTTATTTTCTTCGTCTGTACACTCATCTGTGTTTTTTCTACATTTGATTTTTTAAGATTTCTCAGAGGTATATATTTTACAGACTTTGTAAGCTTCTGTATTCAGGTTTTCCAAGCACTAGTGAGGGTTTAGGGTGCTCATGACTGTTTCTCAGAGTTTGTCTGATAATTCTTTCTTAATTTTGTCCCAAACAATTATATTATTGTTGAAGTTAAATTTAAAGAACATCTCTTCTCGTATACTATTTCTGGAGTTTTCCACCCCTTGATTTATACTTCTATGATGTGGTGATCAGAGCACTGTAGAAAACCTTAAGTTGCAAAGAAGATTCAATGTGAAACTATGCCTATTAGAAGCAAATAGGAGGTAATTGAGATGCTGAAGGGTGGTGCACTCGTCATGGAGACAGCACAAGTGTTTGGTGTTTTAAAATCGACAGTGTGGTCAATTTATGACAATGAGGTGAAGATGAGGGATTGTGCAATGAGTAATCCTCTCAGTGTCTCACTGAAAAGAATGAGGAATATGTTATTACAGTTAAATAAAAATGGAAAATAAGTGTGTGGACCAAAAAACAAAAGCAAGCAAAGTGCCATATTATTGGGGAAAGAGTTGTATCATACTATAAAACAGTGTATGAGGAGGAAGGACAGCCCAAAAACCTGGTTTGAAGTTAAGTTCAGTTACAAATAAAGTACTGTATCAATGTTACCATTTTTCAGCTACACATACTCTTTCTTTTAATTGTGTAAACCTCTTTAGAGTTTGTGCTGTATTTCATAGAATGTTCATTGACAAAATTGGGTAATATTTTTTTTTTAATAGTAAAAAAAATTGTTTCAGTTTCTGGAATTCTGAGGAATGCAACTTGATTTTTTCCTACATGTTTTTCAGTCCATAAGTTGTGAAAATTATTGGTAGCAAAGTTTTCAGGAATGTAACCTGCATGAATTATGAATGTCCACTGAATATTGTTCTTGTGATATGTGTGTGTGTGTCTGATTAGTTCTTCATTATTCATGAAAATCAAATCCATTGCATTTAATTTTTAGTGGGTTCTATAATCTGTTGGCTCAAAGGAAACATTTCACAAAGCCTCATTAGTATGTATCTGTTCAGCTGATGTGCTTCCCAGAACTATTTCTAGTACAATGCTGTAATTTACCATCTTCCATTTAAAATTTGGGAGTGGGAAACTGAAATCTTTGAGAAGGATAATATGTGATGTAGGATTCTCAAGGTTTTCCTATCTGTTCCATGAACTCAGGCATTGCTGATGGTGGCTTATATACAAAGATAATCACTAGATTCTTGTTCTCCACCTTAGTATCTAGTATTTCTACTGGATCATTTTTTTTTTATTTCAGCAGTCTGTGCAACAAACTATGCCTATCACTTAGAGACCTACTCCTCCCTGTAACCTGTTCTCTCAATAACATCTATACAAATTTTAATTCATCATATCTCCCTGTCCAAAATGTGTACATGTATATCTTGTGTATTTTTTTGAACACTCCCAACAGTGCACTTGTTTGTTTATAATCCCAGAATATTAGCAAAGGGAAGGAGGATTACCATTTGTGATGTTTGGGTTCTGTATAGTTTTATTAATACCTCTGGTGGTGTTCCATCCTGTAGTAAGCCTCTGTGTACATGTTCCCAGTCTCTCCAGTCCTGGCAGTGCAAGCTGATGTGTGTGTGGTCTTGGTGTGTAATATACTGATATGATGTGTTGTCTGTACATGTATATCTGCTGTTTTTTTTCTTGTACTTCTTTGTTGGTTTCTCTGGTATATTTCTTTCCTAAACACAATATCTTGTGCATTGTCTCCCTTCTCTTGATGTATATTTTTTATACCACTGGGTGCTCTTCACCTGGCTCTTATGCAGCTTAGCTGATAACCTTTCCTGGCCTTTAATGATGACTGATGGATCTCAGGGCAAAAATATCTATCATACATTCATTACCAAATGCAAAGTTATCAGAAACATTACTGGGACAAGTGTAGAAGTCTTGAAGAGGAAACTAGATAAGTATCTCCACCAATCACCTTAAACCATTAGTAACCCAGCAAAAAGCTGCTATGCAAATGATCACCAACTCCTGTGCCAGACAACACACCCCTCTGCTCTTCAAGAGTTTGAACTTACTTAAAATACATAATATGCACTCATATTACTGTGCCAACTATATATATAGAACATTAAACTCCAATATAATTCCTCCTCTCAACCTTCTCCTTGATGTCTACAACAGAACACAAGCAAAACACAAGGCACAAAATTGTCTTCTACATCCCTTGTGTCCATCTCACCCTGTGCAGAAATGCAGTGCACATAAAGGGCCCTGAGATCTGGAATTTATTGCCCAAACCAGCAAAAAATCCCCTGTATGCTAATCAGTTTAGGGCTATAATTAAAAAAAATCGCCTCTTCTCCCAAACTTATCGTAGAACCAGTTTGAAACTATTCAAGAAAGCCCAATTAACTTAACACAAAATTAATTTAAGTACGCATTAATACACACTTAAAATTATACGTATTATTGCAAATTGTACTAATTGCAATGTTTTTTTGCAACCCCTATACTATAAATTTTATTAATTATAAAATATTTGTTACCCATCTGTTTTTATTAATGTATAATGAAAATTCACCACTCCATAACCTGTCTGGTTTTATGTCGTATGTAAGTGTATGCCCGAAATGCTCAGGCATGCTAGTGGCTTTCTTAGTGCTTAGCAATATTTTACTACATGTCAACTACATATTGTATACTATGAAAAGAAAGAAATTTTTAAATTTGAATGTACCTGATGTACCAGGCTGTGATGGATATGTGGGTCAATGGGTCATCAGCAGCATCAGTCTTGTTGACTAGGCAAGCACCAGACAAGCCTGGCTCAGGGTCAGGCTTTGGGAGTAGAAAAACTCTTGAAACTACTCATTTGTCCTGTATGGGACAAATGCAGGAGTCATTGGATTTAATCTGATACTCCAGAAAACAACCAGACACTTGCTGTGGACAAAATCCAGAATTATGAGCTTTTGTTCATTTTGTCCGATGCTTCCAACATTTGTGGGGCCAATTCTTTTTTCATTGAAATTGACAAAATCGGTTAATGAGTACTACAGCTTTATGTATCGGACTAGGGATGTGCCACAATTTTGGTATTGGTATTGGCCACTTTTACAGTATCAGTATTGGTGAAAAAAATGGCCAATACCAGCAGGTACTTTTTAACCCTTTCAGGGTTTCGGACGTACTAGTACGGCTTACGCACCAGGGTTTTTGATGCAGTAGTACGCCTAAATTCTAGCGCCCTCAAATCTAGCGAGAGAAAGCTGGTAGGCCTACATATGAAAGAATGGGTCTATGTGGTCAGTGTGCGGAGTATAGAAAAAATCCTG